TTTGCACAGCCCTATAATATTTATATTTAAAAGGCACAGTGCAATTTCATGGTTCAGTACTTCTTCACATTTTTGTAGTAAAGTTCAAAACTTTTTTATTTGTTATGTTTGTTTTCATTCAGTATACGCCAAAAATGTTTTTTTTTGCGTGTATATGCTATGCACTGAAAACCCCTTGGTTATGTTTAGGGGGGAGGGGGGTGGGGAGGTCGTGCGTATTACACGGCATAAAGTGCGTATCAAATGCACGCGAAAAACGCGTACCATATACACGCAAAAATTGTTTTTTGGCGTATAAATGGCATGAGAAATGACACCGTGCTATAGATACGAACTTTCATGAGATCAGGCTCGATGTTTGTCTGTTATAGGACAACAAGCGCTCCGAGACGGGGCCATGCGCTCATAAGCAAAGTATACTGAGGGCGTTCAGATATGTGCCTAAACCGTCAAAAAGCCGACACACTAATATATCGAAAAACCATTTTGGTAAATATCCTCGTAAACAGTCGGTTACGTCTTAAGTCAATATATAAATATTTGAGAAAGCGTGTGTGTAACAGTATATTGGATCTGTGCAGCTCTACTGTTGCAGTCATTACTGTTAGTCAAAGATAAAATTGCTTTTGGATAGTTTTAAATAAGGATTAGTTGTAAAATAACACAGCTATTCCATTCCTGTTGTTGGCTACGTCTCTGAATACATCTTCAATGTTTATTTAATTAGTATTTTTGTTTTGTATTGGTTTTGTTTGCAAAAGTTTCTCTCTTGCTGACTGTTTACTTCCGTACTTCTTTATTAACTTGATAAAAATGAAAGTTTAAGCTTACCAATCTCTGTTTAAAAAATGTGCTTTTATTTATTGCAAAAAATAATGATTTTTAACACAACGGCACCCCATGCACTGCATATATACCCTTTTTAGGGCCCTTTTAACACTTTGTTTGCATGTTTAAAATCTAGTACGGGCACCCCTTTTCTCACTCTTTATCCTTTCGTTTAATTTTGCACTCTGACCCTCTTTTTTGTGCTGAATCAGCCCTTTCTGTCTCCTCATTTGCCTCTGACATGCTGGCATTACTCATACCAACACGTACACAGCGGAGGGAGAGGTGCCACAGGTCACTGTCATGACCCAGAGCAGAAAACCACATTATTATTATTACACCCCTCCGCCTACGTCACAATTTAGACATGTCCGTATCAATTTCACTGTTTTGAAACCATTGAAATTCATGAAAGTATTAGCAGAATGTGTGTGTGTGAAAAAACACATATAGTGAAACTAAAAAAAATAGAATATAGTGCAAAAGTAGTATATATGGTGCAAAAATTCAGTAATTCAACTTAAAAGATAAAACTAATATATAGACTCATTTGATTACATGCAAAGTGAGATATTTCAAGCATTTATTTGCTATAATTTTGATGATTATGCCTTTCATAGCTGCACTATAAACAATGCTGGGTTGTTTTAACCCAAATTTGGGTAAAATATGGAATAACCCAAATGTTGGGTTAAAAAATGTAATTTCACTCTTCACTTTCTACTTAATTGCATTTTTAACCCAACATTTGGGTTTGTCCATATTTGACCCAAATTTGGGTTGAAACAACCCAGCATTTTTCAGAGTGTGTAAGAGAAGTCTCTTCTGCTCACCAAAGCTGCAATTATTTGATCAAAAACACAGTAAAATCAGTAATACTGTGAAATATTATTACTCTTTTCTATGTGAATATATTTGAAAAAGTAATTTATTCCTGTGTTCAAAGCTGACTTTTTCACAGTATCACACGATCCTTCAGAAATCCTTCTAATATGATGATTTGAAACATTTATTTTTATTATAAATTTTGCTGCTTTGGAAACTTTCAGGATTCTTCAATGAAAAGAAAGCACAAAATAACAGAATTTACTTAAATGAAACAGAATTATTCAATCTTATATACCAACCACAAACTGTTGAATAGTAGTGTATGTCACATATGACCTTTTTTGCCCCATTTTTATCTGGGGCATTTTTGTCTCTTTCTGTGCACATTTTTTTTCGATAAATTTCTAAAGCTGCACGCTTTGAAGAAAGATTGTAATCCATGGCTTGTATTGACCTGCTCGTGTTTGCTCTGTCCTGAATAGCAGATGTTTTCTAGTCACATTTCTTTCCTTCACAAAAAAGGAAAAGGATTGAATCTTAGGGTGAAGATCTCCTGCTCTCTGTGGGATTGTAAATGACCTAGTATTTACATTCTAACTCTACATATCCGATGTAAACTGCTGTCTAAGCACGATCAGCCGTAGCTGGGGATTATTGACACCACTTTCGGTGCTTCTATAAGATCACATTTGAATTCAAAACGGCAGACTGAAATCGAAAACTGATGAGCTCAGGGGAAGTTACAACAGGAAATGCAGTGTTTAGGTGTGAGGATGTGCTTTACATTCAGAGAGACGGAGAAAGACATGACTTGTGTATTTTAAGGATTTTTTTTATTTCTATTTTGTGTATAAATGCACTTACATACTGTACATTTACATTTATTCATTTAGCTGAAGCTTTTATCCAAAGCAACTTACAATTGCTATATATGTCAGAGGTCGCACGCCTCTGGAGCAACTAGGGGTTAAGTGTCTTGCTCAGGCACACATTGGTGTCTCACAGTGGATTTGAACCCGGGTCTCTCACACCAAAGGCATGTGTCTTATCCACTGCACCATCACCAAGTGTTTAAAAAGCGTCCCATGATGGTTTATGAATGTCAATGTCCAGAGCAAGCAGAGCTAGAATCTAGACCAAGGAGTTTTTAATTTTAATGACGACTTCCTTCAATATTATTCTAATACAGGTTTAAATGATTCAAGTTATTGAAAGTGTTCAGCCAGGGCCGTTTATGACCATTTCAAAACTTAAAAAGCTACGTTTTTATTGATTCGATACTTAAAATCTCTTTCAGTTTATTTTGTATCAAATCACAAAATCACAAATCACAAAAAAAAAAAAAATATATATATATATATATTTTATTGTGCTTTTAAATAAGACACACAATCTATTAAACAAAATGTACAATGCTTATAATTAAAAAATAAGAAATAATGAAGCAGTTATTATTATTTCTTTAATAACACAGTTGTTTTTGTTTATTTCACTTTCAATAATGCAACATAGCCTATTTTTTCAGAAAAAAATAAACTTTATTAAAATAATTAATTTAACCCATGACCAAGCATATATCAAATATATTATTGTTCATATATTAAATTATTCTGTAATTAAATTAAATTAAATTAATGAAAAAAATTTCACCTTTTTTAAATGAAAAATTTCTAGTATGTTTGAAACTTTTCAAATTCATTTTTTACTGGATATAATACTGCTAACAATGATTATTAAAATGATTTTTTAAAACAGTTCATATTACACTCTAAAAAAGTGCTGGGTTGTTTTAACCCAAATTTGGGTCAAATATGGACAAACCCAAATGTTGGGTTAAAAATGTAATGTACAGTTGAAAGTGAAAGTTGAAGTTGGGTTAAAAAATTGTATTACGTTTTTGACCCAACATTTGGTGCTGTTCATATTTGACCCAAATTTGTGTTAAAACAACCCAGCATTATTTAGAGTATAGAAAGCCTGGATGTTTATTATTACTGATATTAGATTTTATTTCCACATGTCATTTGAACACTTTCTGGACAAACGTTTATTTGTTTTTTTATTTTTATTTTTTTGTAAGCTGCCCAACACAAGCATATTTTGCTGTTGCGGTCATAATTTTTTAAAAAAAAAATATGTTTGACCACAGAGCTTATTTCAGCCATTTTACCGTGCTAAAATAAAAACTGGTTTCCACGTTTTACAAATCTTTCCTGCACAACTTTATTCAGCTAGATATCAAATACTGGATATTTGTAGAACAGAAACTACATTGATTTGCTTGAAAACGGATTTATGCTGAGGACATATTTGTGTTTTATGCATTTGCACTTTAACGTCATCATTGACATGGCTTAATTTTTTAATTTTCTGGCAGATTTAGATTAGATGTAAACCAGTGCGCTGGAGGAATGTTAAAGTCATATTCAGAAATTGTTGTGGATTGTTAAATTAATTCTCAATGGAAATCCTGATTTTTCTGATGCATTATATTCTGTAGGATTAAGTTTGGTTATGTTTGAAAATATTAATGTTTTATTTAATTATCACTTTTAATATATACTATACAATTAAATGTAATTTATTTATATAATTATTTACATTATTTATTAAAATTTTTTTTTATTTATTTATTACGAATTAAATTAAGCGTAATTTAATGCAATTATTTTTATAATTTATTTTGTTTTTATTATATGTAAAATCATTGAATGAAATCGATTACAATAAGTAAAACATTTATTTTTCACCAAAAATAATGCAAAAAATATCTTAACAGTCCTTCATTTTCTTTATGTAAAATATATTTCTGATTTCTTCTTTCTTTTTGAAAGGTAAACATGTTTTCGCAGGATTTTCTCCTACTACACCCATCCATGAGTAGTCCGCTTACATGTTGAAGCTCTTAAAAAACACAGAATAAACAAACAAATCCCGCTTTTTTAGCATTGATTTTATGTCATATACACTCAGTTTTGGCTTCTCGTTTTTTAAACACAGCATTAAATCAGTCCATATAGCACATATGAAACCACAAAACCTGATGGCCTCACTCAGGAATGTGAAGTATGTGAGCCAAAGGAAACCAAGCGTAGGCAAAGGGGAGGGGTGAACGTCATGTCATATCCTCTCGCTCCGAAACTGGAATGTTTTGCACTGTACATAGTGCATGTATGTAAATGCATGCATGCATACTTAACATGCAATCAGCATTGTTATCTGAGCGAAGAGGCTGTATGTGAGGTTTGTAAGTGTTGTTTGTGTGTACATCCCCCCCCTTTAACAAGAGCACAGTGGTTTCTTCCATAGTGGGAGGTGTAGTTTTGTGGAGAAGTCACCGCAGATCAATGAACTGAGCGAAACAGACGGGCTGGGCAAGCCGACTACACCGAGCGTCCGTGGGATATATGCTTCCGCAAGACATAATATTTCCTGCCTGTGACGATTCGCTCTTAAAGTGAGACTATATGACAGCACTGCTCGGTCTCTATGGTTTATAGAGGCACAAACACAACTTTACCCTCCCAAATAGGCAAGAACATATGAGATAGACGCATTTATTCATCCGTCAGGGGATATTCGCTTATTGAGGATGATTTTTGCAAATTCTGGACACACAGTGAGGACATCGTATAATCGTAAACAGGTAAATTCACTTTAATTGTGGCCCTGTGGTTTAAAGAGTGTGTTTGTGGAAACTGTGACACTTTTATTGTTTTGATAATGTAATTACATGGATATATCCAGGCTGGACGACGGATGAAAGACTGCTAGTGTCCAAAAGTAGCACTTCCATGAAACTAATCCATAAAGAATAGCTGTCATTCGCGCCCTTCCAATCAAATGCTTGCCTCTGATGGGGTGTGTTTTTGTTGTGTGAGCTTTTCATTTTATTGTGTTACTGCATCGACTCATTCACAATTTTAATACACCTCCCCAATCAAACCCGTCCCACGAGTTTAAAAATAGGCCTCTATTTGAACAAGTTTTTACGCGTCTCATGCACGTCACTGCATTTTCCTCTGATGTGAACATGCATTCACAGCCCTGTCTGCCTGCTTTGATGGAGTGTGTGGTTTCAGTGGTTAATCTGCTTTACCGGCCTGTAATGGTCAAAAGTCACAGTGCTGAATTAATGCACCTTGTGTGTTCTCATATTGACACTGATCGTTTAAGCCTCACCTCATGCATTTCACACGCACCACCTATCTTGAACAGTCATTTTCAGCCTTATTTGTTGATCGTGCATGACAAATTTGAAAACATTTGCTGGAAATGTATTAATTCCTCGATTGTTGAGGATGATATGCAAATTCTGGCCACATAATTGGGTAAAAATCGTATTTGACTTTAAAATGTTCTTTGAGGTGCGGTTTTCAAGTCTTTTTGGGTGAAATCTGCAAAGAAAATGTCAAAGTCATATTTTAGCTGGATTTCTGGCATTTTCATGAAGAATATGACATTTACATGTCAATTCCCTCTCAAATTCTCATTACTTTAATGCTGAACCAAAAACGATATATATATATATATATATATATATATATATTAAGGATACCGTCATGTCACAATTCGATACTGAACTCACAATATATTATTGCGATACTCCAGGACATATGATAAAAGATTAAAATGCTAACTTTGATATTACATTGTGGGTTTAAATGAATATACTTGTAACCCAAGGACAATGGTGACACCAGAATAAAAATATTCATGATTCTGAAGCTGAAAATGCTTAGACGAATATTCTTGCATTAGATATATTTAGATATATTTAAAATAATTTTGGATTTTAATGCCAAAAGTCATTTGACATTATCAGGAGGACCCACAAATATTCCCCCCATTGCATTATTATACATTTATAATCAACATTATATATAGTAGTTTAATGTAGTACTGACACTAAAACTTTTTTTTTAATGATACATATTGTCACTATCCACAATACTTATTGTTGCGTTTTTGTATTGCGATATATTGTGGCACGATATATTGTTACACCCCTAATATATATATATATATATATATATATTAGGGCTTTCAAATGATTAATTGTGATTAATCGCATCCAAAATAAAAGTTTGCGTTTACATAATATATGTGGGTGCACTGTGTATAATTATTTTGTATATTTATAAATACACACAAATGCATGTATATTTAAGAAATAAATATTATTCATATATAAAATATTGATATTTATATATAATATAAATTATATATAAATCTATATACAGTATATACATGAAAATATTTAAGAAAATATACAAGAATGTGTGTGTATTTTATATATATATATATATATAATTATACACAGTGCATCCACATATACTGTATTATGTAAACACAAACTTTTATTTTGGATGCGATTAACTGCGATTCATCGTTTGACAGCCCTAATATATATATATATTATGATATTAAAATATATCAAAACATTAACATATCACATTACTCACAATTGGGACGAAACTGAAAAGTCAAACGTCTGCATTACGGTAATGAGAATATTTTTTACTTCTCATGACAATAAAATCACAATTCCTTTAATTTAACATTGTTTTTAATATGATTTTGGGGTCATTTGATCCGTAACTCGGTGTCATATCAGCGCATCATGTTGGGATCAGATAGTGTCGCTGTTTGGAGTTGCAGTATCTGCGGAAGCCTCGTTGCGAATCACATGCTTTTATTGCATCTCCTAATGATGAAATTTGATTTATCAGCAGCAGCGGCACGCTAAGAGATTGAGCGCTTGATAAAAGAGGAAGGGCTTGGTATAGTCGCTCGAGAGGATTATGCGTATATTCACAGGCCCGTTTAGCAGCCGAGCTGGATCTCTCGCAGGGTGAGGGCGTTTACTGGAAGTCTTCAGTGTATTTCCAGCACGGATATGATGGGCTGACGAGGTCTGCGGTTCTCTGATAAGAAGCCAGTCTCTCCCCGCAGAGCTGAATGGTCAAACAGATGCGAGATACAAAACAAGCTTTGAGTTCCTAAGAAAAGCCCGTTCCACTCTGGGAATGTGTGTGTTTCGGTCAGAGGACCTTCGAGGGGAAACACTGGCTTCTCGTCCTCAAAGATGTTCTTTGTCCACTTGTTTGTGCCTCATTTCCTGTTTCTCCGATGCAAAGATCAGATGAGCGGCCTCGTTTTGTTTTTTCGAGGCCTGTCCTGAAGTCGTGGCTTGAAAAACCGACTGTTTTCTTGGAAAGTGCTGTCCGATAAATAGGATGACGTCGACAGGAAGAGCTGCTTTATTTTACATGAATAGGATGGTAAAATGTGATTCTGCTAAACTATTCATCCTGCGAGCATTTAAAGAGATTAGCACGCTTCAAGGACTTCCCGCTTGACCGGCAACGTGACTAACTGTGCTGTTTTCCAGTGTATCCTCTCAGAACACTTGACTAATAGCATAAAGTCTTTGTGCTTTACAGGATGACGAGTTTATTTTCATCTAAAGTAGAAACCAGGGGCGTTTGGAGAGGCAGTGCCTTCTCAGAAAGAAAACAAACTGAATGAGAATCAGCGGTACAGGAACAAAGCAAAAGCAATATTCTGTATGTCATATAGTATTTTAACTACCCAGGTTTTCATTGACCTCTAAAAGCTCGACATGAATGGAGAAATGCAGGCTAACAGTGACAGAATGTGCTTTTTACTTCAAGGATTGTGCTTTAAACTTCATTTAAACTTGTGAGTGAACTTAATTAGGCATTAAAATGCATATATGGTTGCTTGTTGATTGTGTTATGCCTTTAAGCCAGAAACCATGTGAAAGCATGCATTTAAATTGCTAAAAAACCTGAACACAAAGAGACTTTGCGGCCTGATTTCAGAAGTCAAAACGTGCCACTGATCGAAAGAGACGTTTTAATTGCCCTGTTAAATGTTCAGTATCAGTAGTGTTGGAGGAATTCATATCAAGGCAGATTTAGTGTTGACCTTTAATAATCCACCGTCTTCTTTTTAAACTCGAGCTTGTCTCCTTTACCCAGTCTTGTGGTTTCGCCTTTACGCAGCTGCATTGTACAATGGCATAAAGAGCGGCCAAAGGGTTTCCAGGCCATTTCAATAGGACATTGACTCTGTCCTGACCCCTAAATGCTGTCTTTGTTGTGTAGACCTTTAATGAAATGATATTTTGTTCGGCACTACTGGATTTCGTGGAGCTCAGATCTGTGCTTTTCAGCACCTGCCAATCTTGGGCATTTTCACTGCTGTCTCTGCCTTTGTGGGGGAATTAAAGGTGCAGTAAGCAATTTTGGAAAAACGCCATTGAAAAGTGGATTGAAACAAGCACCAAAACACACGTAGCCAATCAGCACTTAGGGGCGTGTCCACTCATGATAGGGGAGGAGAGAGAGTGAGCCAATCAGCACTTAGGGGTGTGTCCACTCATGATAGGAGAGAGAGTGAGCCAATCAGCAGTAAGGGGCGTGTCCACTCATAATAAGGGAGGAGAGAGTGTGAGCCAATCAGCACTTAGGGGCGTGTCCAGTCATGATAGGGAAGGAGAGAGAGTGAGCCAATCAGCAGTAAAGGGGTGTGTCCACACATGATAGGGAAGGATAGAGAGTGAGCCAATCAGCAGTAAGGGGTGTGTCCATTCATGATAGGGGAAGGAGAGAGAGTGAGCCAATCAGCACTTAGGGGCGTGTCCACTCATGATAGGGGAGAAGAGAGTTTGAGCCAATCAGCAGTAATGGGTGTGTCCACACTTATGATAGGGGAGGAGAGAGTGAGCCAATCAGCAGTAAGGGGCGTGTCCGCTCATGATAGGGGAGGAGAAAGAGTGAGCCAATCAGCAGTAAGGGGCGTGTCCACTCATAATAGGGGAGGAGAGAGAGTGAGCCAATTAGCAGTAAGGGGCGTGTCTACTCATGATAGGGGAGGAGAGAGAGTGAGCCAATCAGCAGTAAGGGGCGTGTCCACTCATAATAGGGGAGGAGAGAGTGAGCCAATCAGCAGTAAGGGGCGTGTCCACTCATAATAGGGGAGGAGAGAGTGAGCCAAACAGCAGTAAGGGGCGTGTCCACTCATGATAGGGGAGGGAAAACGGATGCCGAGGTTGATTTATATAACTAAGATTTGCTGTCTTTTGCTTGAATTCACTTGTGTGTCATTTTCGCTTGTTTTTCATTTGCATTATTATTACAGTATTATTAAACCTGGACGTCTAAACCTCCTCCACCGCCCATTTCAAGCATTGGCTTCTAAAGTGTGTCCGGAAAGTGAGATAACACTCCTAATAAATGTTTTTTCTTTGGGTTCCTCTTTTAGTGATCACTATGTCACATTTGTTATATATTAGGTACCTGTTCATGAAAACCATGTTTGTTTGTTTTGGATGGAAGGGAGTAGAGAGGCTAAATATCAATTAGACATTCGACCTAAATGATCATAGTAACACAAATTGCTTTTATGTATTGATAACATCAGGCACATCAGCAGATTTCACTGTTGTTGTTGCCTGTGTTGCGTAGCTCGAGTATGAATATGGGGGCGAAGGCATCAGAATAGGGATGTGATCCTTTTTGGTAGGGGCGTGTTATTGGTGACTTCAAACATCAACCAGAAATCGCTCACTGGACCTTTAAAGGGACAGTTCACCCAAAATGATTTTACTCGTTCTCA